AGGTCCTGCGATGTGACCCCAGGGCTTTTCCCATGGAGGTGCCGTGGTAACACCACACCTGGACCCTGGCTTTTTTATTTTTTAACCCAGTTCTCCTTGGGAAAGTGAGCTAATGTCCTGCATTAGAGGACCACTGGAGAAGAAAGTGAACTTCCAGAGTTTCCCCAGCGGTACTACAGCAGCCCAGCCCACTTCCTTTCGAATAGGCCTTTCTTTCTGCCTCTTCCCTTTTTTCTCTCCCTTTTCAAGCCACCCAGAAACAAGCAAGGGACTTTATGAAGCAGAAAGTAGAGGCAAGGCAGCAAATGGCATAGTAGTTAAGGCGCTGGACTCCCACGTGGTCAATGGGTTCAAGTCCCAGACCCGGCAGGCTGAAACTCACATTGGGTGCATATGCGTGTGTGCCCAAAATCCAGAGAGGAGAATGGAGGGAAGGGATTGTGGCGTGGCCATCCCTCAGCCCCGAAATGATTTCTCGCTTCTTGTCTCTCCATCTCTCTTTGGTGAGCACATGTACCCTATAGCCAAAAAAAAAAAAAAAAAGAAAAAAAAAAAAGTAGCCGGAACCTTAAATTTAGTTGACTCCACCACTTTGCACAGTGTTCACCAAGAACAGCACAAGTAACTACTTTCCTTTGAAGACATTCCAGCACCTCTGTTAACTATGCCCTCGTGTGTTTGAAACGCCCCGTGATCTGAAGGTGCAATTTTCCTGTGTGAGCTTACACTGGGTCCCTCTTTGTCAAGGGCAATCCTCCTTGATTTCCTCTTGGGCATGGGGGGGTGAGGGGCTGCAGTCCCTGTTGTCATATCAGTCCCCCAAGTTCTGCAGGACCAGGCAGGAGGGCAGTGATGGCAGTGACACATGGAACAGCAGCACAGGTCCTGCAAACACATTGTCACCGCTTCATCCCCTGCCCCGAGCAGCCAATCCCGGCCCTGGCTATAGAAAGTCCCGCTTTTCCTAATCTATTTTCTCTGCACCCTCTTTGCAGCCATCACTGTAGTAAAGGTGGCTTCTGTGTTTTGCCAAAGCCTTAGGGTAGTTTTTAAAAATATATATATATATTTTTAAAATTATTATTCAGACATTAAATGGCTATACATCATTTAGATTGTGAAGAGACTTTACTCAGCATGATAGACACCTCAGTCCAGCCCAGTTGAGACCACCACGCACATCCTCGTCAACAGATAATAAACCTTATCTGTGTCCCACAAGTGTCTTATCTCTCCATTTCTGCCCCAAATTTTCTTTCCTACACTCTTTACCTCTCACTCTCTTTCCACTCTTTCCCTCTCACTCTCTTTCCACTTTGTCTCTAGCGTCCCATTACGAATTTTTAATACTTTGTTTTCACATCCCATCTCCTCCGTCATCTGCCATCATCTGCTCAACAGCTCTTTTCTCTAGAAAAATACCAGGAGCCCGCACTGCAGCCCTGCCCCACCAGCGGGGTGTCCTATTTTTCAGAGTTTTTCTCTGAAGGTGGATGTGATTAGAAGGTGCATAGGAGTGAGCACTTTCCCCAGGGCCGTACGTACTACACCCAAACTCCCAAACCTCCAAACACAGGAGGAGGCCATTTGATGGTAACTGACAGCAGCCCGAGGACTGACGCTCAGCACAAGGTGATGACCGGGTGACCACACCGGCTGCTGCCCCTCCAAGCAGCACACCCTGAATTCTAGGTGGCCGATGAATTAACACACAAGCTCTGCAGATGCAGGCTGAGGGTCTGAACAGAACACAGATCCATCTGCAAAGATCCATTTGCTTTTCAGGTTTATCTAGGCTTAAAGGCTTATAATAAAATGGCACCCAGGCCAAAAAAAAAAAAAAAAAAAAAGACTTCTGTGTCTGAATGGCGGCCTTGCAATTTCAAACCAAGCTATCTACCATCGCTGAGCTAAACACTCTCAGGTCTTTAATACGGAAATGTAGTTTTAAAACCCTATCTTCTCTGGACTTGTCTTTACAGAGATTATTCTCAAGTACCGAAGGATGGGGTGGGCTGTGCAAAAAAAACGAAAGCCAAAACGAAAACCTCATGGTTTTTTTTTTTTTGTTTGTTTGTTTGTTTGTTTGTTTTTTGGCTATAGGGCGCGTGCGTTCGCCAGATAGACAGAGAGACAGAAAGTGAGAAATCACCCCCTAGGGGGGGATGGCCACGCCGCAATCCCTTCTCCTCCATTCTCCTCTCAGGATTTTGGGCACGCACACACATGCACCTGGTGTGAGTTTAAGCCACCAGGTCCGGGACTCGAACTGTGGTCAGCTACATGGGAGTCCAGCAACATAGCCATTACGCTAACTGCTGGCCCCTAAAACTTCATGTTTTTGCGACACGCTGCCTGGAGTTCCCACTACCTGCTTCTCATTCGAGGAACCTGGAAGCCTTTAGCTGCGTCGGCAGGGGCCCCAGGGGTCTGTGGGATCAGGACTGAGCACACACCGGCGTCCTCACGTATAACGTGTCAGAAACTCAACTACCACTGCCTATGTGATACAAAGAAAAAACAGCCAGCATCTACTGATTTCAGCTTTTCCTTAGAACGAGCTCCGTAAAGATTCGAGTCATTGTGTAATAGGAGGGTTGTCATTTTCAAAGTGACCTTTGTTTGTTTCTTCAAGCAAATTTATGCAGCAAAAGAAAGATTCCTCCCCTAGAGCCCCAGGACCCTCTGCAGGCAGCAGCTTTGAGGCCAGGCCCGGGGAGATGTCTCAGCACTGACCTGCTCCCTGCTCTGTAGTTAGCCTGGCCCAAGAGAGACTTCCTTCACAAACCATGTCACTGGAAGCCTGAGCTGTTTTCAAACCATTAACAAACAGCTCTCCCCATCCCCGTTCAATCTTCCCTTCTCTCCATAACCCTGTATAAAAAACAGCTAAAGAATCAAGACAAATGTTAATAAGGTAGGCTAATGATTTCCTTTTAATTTCCAGAGCAAGAAAAGTTAAAAACACGGGAGTTACAGGCAGGAAAGATTGAAGCCTACTGCTAGTGATCTGACAGGTTCTGTAACTCTTACTGTTAGTAAGCTAAAAAGCATACAATTTTGAGGGGTTTAGTTATCTTGCTTTTTTTTTAACTTTCACCAAATCTCACTAATGATTTGTTTAACTAAGAAACAATTTTTAGAATCTGTTTTATTTTAGTGGATTTTTTTTTTTTCAGGAACAGAAAATGAAAATCAATTTGGGAAGACAGTTATTCAAAAGGGAGTAGTGACTATTTAAAAAATAGGACTCTTCTCGTCAAGCCAAATGGGAAATTCTTGTGGACAGAAGTGAATAAAAACAAAACAAACCAAAACAAAAATCTAGTACTTTGGGGTGAAGGAGAGGAGAAAAGAAAAGTCAATGCTCACTTTACCTTAAAAAGCAAAATTGAGGGGGAAAAAAAATTAAAAAGTAAATTTTGGGCCACCCGGTGGCATGGTGATTAAAATAGCTGTATCCCACATGGCCAACTATGGTTTGAGTCCTGGACCCGGTAGCTTGAAAAACACATTGGATATATGTGCATGTGTGCATGAGTGCCCCAAATCCCAAGAGGTAAATGGAGGTGAAGGGACCAAGGCAGGGTCCTCCCTCCCAGGGGATGCTTTCTCACTCTCTCCCTCTCTGTCTCTCTTCGGCAAGTGCATGTGACCCATAGCAAATTAAAAAAAAAGACAAATGTTATGATTTCTAGAACTTGAATATACAGGATATCTACCCAAAGAATGCCTGAAGTAGTGCCCTCTCAGTGGTTTTCAACATTCCCTAACATGCTCCTTAATTTTGGTGCGGAGGTTAAGGTACTGGATCCCACCGCACTGATACCATGGTTCAAGGTCCAGACCTGGTGGCTTGAAAACCATATTAGGTGCATGTGCATGTGTGTGCAAAATCCAGAGAGGAGACTGGAGGAAAAAGGACCGTGAGGTCGCCATCTTCCACAGGGAGCAATTCAGACTTTCTCTCTCTGGTAAGTACATGCGCCCTATGTCAAAAATCTAAAAATCAAACAGACAACAACAACAAAGAACTGCTCCCTAATTCTAAAGTCAAATCTGGAGAAGTATGGTAAGGTTACATATTTCTTTTTTTTTTTTTTTAAGAATTCTTTCATTTAATTTTTTTCTTTATTATCATTATCGTTATTATTTTCCAGTTTGATCAGAGAGAGACAGAGGGAGAGAGAGAGAGAGAGGAAGTGAGAAAGCAAGCCACCAGGTCCGAGACTTGAACCGTGGTCGGCCATGTGGGAGTCCAGCGCCTTTAACCACCATGCCACTTGCTGGCCCCGAAGGTTGCATGTTTCTAAGCATCAAGTGACTGACCATAAACGGTATTTAACACACTTGCTATATGATGTAACTACTAAATTTTTAGTCACCTCATTCTTTCATAGTTAAAATTAATAAATGAAAAGAACCTGAATTGTCAAAATAGTACTTTCATTTTAAAATAGGGGAAAAAATAAACAAAACAAAGCACTCACACAAGAATTGATCATGCCCCCAATATTTCACCCAGTCCCTGAGATCCAAAAGGATGGCCCTGGCTGGGCTATCTCAGCAGTTTGCACATGAACATTTGCTTCACTCTGGCAAGGACGAGGTCTCGAAAATAAATCAACAACACAGGAGGTGGTTTTGCATGTGAACAATGTAAGGTTGGGGTCAGGCCACACAAATAGAAGTGGCTGTGACATCTGGGACTAGGAGGCAGGTGGCAGTGGGAGGTGTCAAGGTAGCTAGATTGAGTTGAACACACAGAGGTGTCACTACAAGTCCTACCACTGCTCTTCAAGAAAGTAATTTTAGAGGGGGAAAAAAAAAGACTGAGGGTGAGGAATGAAGAGGAAAGGGGAGAAGAGAGAACCCTTGTAACCCTCAACCCTGGGGAAACTCGCACTATCTAATGATACCTAGTTCTTGTAAGACGGTGACAGTGTGTCCCCTCTAACTGGAAAATGCTGGTTCTGGCAAACAGATTTGCAAATGCTCACCAAAGACTCTGGCTACGAATCCCAGCGGGAACTGTGAGGCAAACACGGTAAGAAACCAGGGGGCAGCGTAGAGGCTGGGGCCGATCTCGTGCTCCTCCAGGTGGTTGTAGAGGTCTCGGTGGTAATCGTGCAGGAGTCGCGAGAGCTGGTACATCTGTATCTGCAGAGACAGACGCCCGTAAGGTGGAGAATCAAAGGTCTGCCACACAAACGGGGCTACTCATAGGCTCATGGTGGCAGGAGAGGAATGACTAGAACCTTAAGCTTTGTGCCTGGCCAGTGACCCCCACTGCTCTCAGCTACTAACCCATCAACAAGCTCTTCCGGGGTGCCTGCTGTGAGGCACCAGTTGCAGGGCCCAGAACGCCCATGTTGGGTCTTGTCTTCCGACCACTTCTGATTGTTCCTTGTGTCCCCTGGCTTAGAGAATCTAAGCATCTGTCTCATGTAAGCAGTTCATAAATTCTCTTACAAATACACATTCTTAGCAAAACTCATTTCTAAGAAATTAGAAATGAAAAGACAACCTCTGTGCTGGAGAGAGAACTAAGGGGATATTACAATTCCATAGGATGGGTCTGTAGTACATGCTCATTAAGGATATGCCTGCTAGGCTCCCAACGTTGCTCAGCAGACGAGCAAATGCCATTTCTTTAGGTTCAAAACACATCTCTGGGCAAGCTACAACAAAAATCCCAGTGTTTTTCTTAAGGAGAAGATAATAATGTATTCTGACTAAAGTCAAACTCCCACTTCAAAGGCTTCCCCCTCAATGAACAACAGGGTCCTGGAAGGATGCTGACTCCAGATCCTGTAGCCCCATGATGAATCCCAGGGCTCACAGAGGTCCTAGGGCAGCCCAATGGCCTGAGCCTAAAGAAATGACCATGCAGAGAGGGCCAGAATCCTCCTGAGATGCCCAAGTTGGACATGCAATGCCCAAACGGGGCAGAGGCACAAATGATATTATCTTTTTTTTTTTTGAAGAGGTTTTTGCAATAGGGCATGTGCGCTCGCCAGACAGAGAGAGAGAGAGAGACAGAAAGCGAGAAATCACCCCCAGGGGGGATGGCCATGCCACAATCCCTTCTCCTCCATTCTCCTCTCAGGATCTTGGGCATGCACGCACACACACCTGGCATGAGTTTTAAGCCACCGGCTCTGGGACGCGAACTGCGGTCGACTACGTGGGAGTCCAGCGACATAGCCATTACGCTAAGTGCTGGTCTTACAAATGATATCATCTTAAACACCAGCTGTGGCTCTTCAGTACCTGTAAGAGTCTAATGAGCCACAACTACTGGCCCACACGAGGCACGTTACCCTAAATTCCATAAAACTCAGAAATCCCACTCGCTGATGACAGTTGCTCCTATATTTAAGGTAATGCAGAGACTCTAGGAAGACGGTATCTTGAACCATACAAAAGTGTTTTGAACAACCAGAAAAAGAGTTTTGTGGTTCAAAATCTTTCTGTAAACGAAATGGCTTCGTTTTTCTAGATGTATGTCCACGTGGTTCATTGTCACAGGCTGAGAGGAAAGGACCCATAGTCACGTCATGGGTGCTCTTAAACAAGTCCTTCATGGCAAATGGGCCTACAAACATGCACTCCTCCGTTTTGAGGAACATACAGGAATATTCCCAAAGCAGGATCCAGGGCCTTCCCACCTCTGAAGGGCTCTCCCCCTGGCAGCACTCGGCACTAGGAATGGGCTGCTAGGCTTGTCCGTTCCTTCTTGACAGACTTTCATTCATCAGACACTGACTGGGTGCCTGCCTCAGCCAGGCGCTGCTCTAAAACTAGGGGCGCAGCTCCAAGGTCAGTAATTTCCTTCCTCCCTCACGAAGCTTACGTGCGACGGAAAGTCAGCAAATAAACAGAGAAAGAAGCAAATGAAAGATGATTAAGATGATTTCTGGCAGTGGACGCGTCACACACAAGTCATGAGTCAGGACAGTAGGAGAGGACGTGCCACGGTGGGAGCTGGGGACAGCACGTCAGGGTGGGCGGACTAAGTCTCTTGGTGTGAGATCTTAGCAGAGCCCTGGAAGATGAGGGTGCTGTGCAGGTGAGGATCGCTAGCAGATGTGGAAGCCAGGGGAGAGTTAGATCACCCGACGGTTGACAAACAGCAAGCGGGAAGACCTTGACCTGGCCCAATCAGTTATTATAATACCCAACCCCTTGGGGCCTTAGTCTTCCCATCTACAAACAGGGACAATGATCAGTGTCTTCCTGGGGGTTATCATGGAGGTCAGCATGTAGGAAGCACTTGGACCGATGCCTCGCAGTGTCCATTATTAGCAACGGCAACGTTAACTGAGGGTGGAAAAGCCCCTCCGCTCTACCTGGAGCAGATAAAACACCTCTCAGCTTTTTTTGCATTGAGATACAAGCAACATTTTCTACCTGCAAAATAATCATGTCCGGCCGATACTGTTTCCGCAGTCCCATGTCAAACATCAGGAACTTGAGCATTTTAAACGCCTCTTCCTCGCTCATGTGAAGAAGCAAAATGCCGGCCACGAAGCTGAGACCCTGGCAGTAGCCTACTTCCTGGTCCAGAAGGGAGTAGGCCTTCAGGATGTTGTAGAGAGAGAGCTGCCCCGCTCCAAGCTGCGCAGAGAAGTACGGGTGTGTTGGAAAGGTCCGCCCTGTGAAAAGTACACAATTTAGTTGGAATGAGAAAGGAAGTCTTTTGAACCAGAAATCCAGCATGCTGTAGGTGAAAGCAGCAGAATCTTCGGAAGCTGAATCACACCGTCAATCAGCCTTCTTCACTCTCTCTGCTGTAAACAAGGTCTTGGGATGTTCCTGGACTAATGTTGGTGATTAGAATCAGCGAGTATTCACGTTCTTTTTGGTGGGGGGTTCAGGCGATAGAACCACCCTGGATTTCAATCTAGAACATAAAGAAAATTTGACTCTAAAAAAAAAGGGGGGGGGGACCAGCAGTTGACATAATGGCTATGTCACTAGACTCCCATGTAGTCGACTGCGGTTCGAGTCCCGGACCCGGTGGCTTAAACTCACGCTCGGTGCATGTGCATGCGTGCCCAAGATCCCGAGAGGAGGATGGAGGAGAAGGGATCATGGCGTGGCCATCACCCCTGGGAAGTAATTTCTCGCTTTGTGTCTCTCTGTCTCTGTCTTTTTGGTGAGTGCACGTACCCTATAGCAAAAACCTATCCCTCCCCCTACAAAAAAAAAAAATTACAAGCAAACTTGATCTTCAGACAGAACCTCTGTTCTCAAGAGGAACACAACGGCTGTTTGTCTCTGAGCCCTGCCCCACCCCAGCATCACCTAACGCGTCCAAAGGCCTCGCCTTGCTGCAGACACACCGCCACGGCTTCTCCCAGACTGTACATATTTTGCCCACAAAAGCTTTAGCCTACATGCATGATTCTGTACTTTTAAACCACAGGCGCTGTTTTGAAACAGACGGGGAAGCAGCAGGTGTTTTCTCTTACACAAAACAGTTACCTTCCAGAAAAAGGCTTTAAGGGAAAAAAAAAAAAGCCCTCAACATCCTGATTATTTTCAAGGAGGCTGCTATTCAAATAAGGCTTAAGGCCTTTTCTCCAGGAGGCTTTTGTTGCTGGTACCTGGCAAGTCCCCTCTCCCCCTCCTTTCTGACTGGTGGGGGAGTGTGTTTCCAGGCAGCAGAAAAGCTGGCTAAGAAGAGAAAGTTCTTGGGCTAGCAGGTGGCATGGCACTTAGGGCACTGGGCTCCTCCTACATGCTGAGTGCAGACTGTGGGTTGCTCTCTCTCTCTCTTTCTCTCTCTCTCTCTCTCTCTCTCTCTCTGGTGAGCACGAGTACCCTGTAGCAAAATTTTTTTTTTTGGAGAGTTTTTTTTTTTTTTGCTACAGGGCGCCTGCGCTCACCAAACAGACAGAGAGAGACATAGAGACAGAAAGCGAGAAATCACTCCCCAGGGGGATGGTCACGCTGCAATCCCTTCTCCTCCATTCTCCTCTCGGGATCTTGGGCACGCACGCACACGCGCCCGGTGTGAGTTTTAAGCCACCAGGTCCGGGACACGAACCACGGTGGACCACGTGGGAGTCCAGCGACATAGCCATTACTCTAACTGCTGGTTCCCCCCTGTAGCAAATTTTAAAAATAATAATAGTAATAAATAAAATTAGATACTTTTTTTTGGAGAGGTTTTTGCTACAGGGCCAGAGAGAGAGAGAGACAGAGAGAAAGAAAGCGAGAAATCACCCCCCAGGGGGGATGGCCACGCTGCAATCCCTTCTCCTCTATTCTCCTCTTGGGATCTTGGGCACGCACACACACACGCCTGGCATGTCTCTCTCTGTCTGTCTGGCAAGCGCACGCGCCTATAGCAAAAAAAAAGAACCTCAAAGCTGGCCATGTGGGACTCAGTGCTTCAACCTCCATGTCACCTGCTGCTCCTAAAGTTCATGTTAATTGGCTATTTTATTAGGGCCACTGCGTGGGAGGCAGTAAGCTGTACTGGATGCTGGGGTTTGGCTGAAAGGGTGACCCGATCATGCTAGGAGTAGCTGTACATTCCTGTAATCCCAGCTGGCTGGGAGACTCGGGCAGGAGCACTGACATAGTGAGACCCTATTGAAAACACCTCTCTCCCCCTCTCTCCCACTCCTTCTTCCTTTCATAGAGGGGGGAAGCTGGTCTATTTAACGCAACCTATACAAAATATTACCACTTCAACATAGAATCAATATAAAAAATTAGCGAGACCTTTGCATTATTTTTTCTTGCTGTCTTCAAAACCCAGTGTATTCCTTTAAAAATAATTTTTTTAATTTAACTTTATTTTATTTATTTATTTTAATTTGACCAGAGAGGGACAGAATGAGAGAAAGAGAGAGAGAGAGAAAGTGAGAGAGCAAGCTATCAGGTCTGGGACTCAAACCATGGAGTCAGCCATGTGGGAGTCCAGTGCCCTTAACCTCGGTGCCACCTGCCGGCCCGAGACCCAGTGTATTCTTCATACTGACAACAGCCTATTTTGGACCGACCACGTTTTGGGGCTTGCCAGCCACAAACACACTGTCCCTGGATTCTCAAAAACATACCTGCTCTCTCGCTCCATCACCCCCACCAGCTTCTAAGCCTGTGGGATGCAGGGTTCGCCACATCTGCATTTTGCCTGAATGGTTAGTGTGAATGGTGTTCGATTACAGAACTTCAGATACACCATACACATCATCAAGACCCAGCTTCCAACCGAGACAGGAACGAAAGGGCACACACGTGGAAGTTTTGTAGCACAGATGTAAAATAACCTCTATTTCGGGTAGAGCAACAACCTTACAAAACCAACCATCTCTGTTCACCCTAACATTGCACATGAGCCTGAAAAATGTTGCTTTCTAATAGACCTCCAGAGGCAACGGAAAGTTTGATCTTGGTAACTGATTTTCATCAATGTTGGAATTCACAAACCCGTAGAAGTGAAAATTGATATGAATCCCAAATTTTACTAACCATCATCACTATCTACGTGGAAACACCTGTGAACCCCAAACTTTCAAATCTTTAGTTATTACTCAGACCAGACAAGTCTTTCATGTCTTAGGGTTTCAGAAACTAGAAACTAATTTTTTTAAATCTAAGAAACTTGTCCTGCACTAACTTGGCCAAGCCACAGCAACATTTCCAACGTGTTTCATGAGACGTCCAAATTCAATTTCATGCCGCATGGACTACTGGGACTTGGCATAGCAGAACAGGATTCTGAATCCACTACCACCCTGGGGACCAGCCACAAGGTCCTGGCCTTCATTTCCCAGCTGACGGAGAAGATGAACTGCCTGTCTAACGCTGTCAATCAGTCCCTGTCGTACACTGGCTTTTGCTTGGGGGAAACACCCTTCTGCCATCGCATGGTCTTCCAGGTCAATGGTTCTCAATGTATGGTAAGTCTGAGGACACCCAGGGTCTCCAAGACCCTTTAAAGGATTCATGAGGTTCTCTCTCCCCTTCCCAACAGGTATCTGTATAAGATCAGCTTTCTCTCACCTACTCCAAATACCATAATCGCAACAGACTGAGTGAAGTAAAATATAATCCAGATGATTCTATTAAAATAGACATTAAAGAGATTAAAAAAAAAAATATATATATATATATACAATGGGACCAGCATCCAACAGGTGACATGGTGGTTAAAGCACTAGATTCCCACATGACCAAATTGCAGTTCGAGTCCCAAGCCTGGCAGCTTGAAAATCACACCAGGTGCATGTGCACGTGTGCCCAAAATTCCAGGAGAACGGAGAAGCCTGAGCTGTGGCTGTCCCCCTTGGGGGGGGGGTGATTTCCCCACTTTCCCTCTATCACTTTCCAGGAAGCATACACACGCCCTATGGCAAAAATCTAAAACATAAATAAATAAACAAAAGCAAGGCCATTCCTCATACATTTTTTAATTTGGAAAACGGTCATTTTTCACCATGGTTACACAAATGAGTTTATTACGGTTGTTCTAAAATGAATATATATTATTTAACTTTCTCAGTTTTCATTTGTAATATGGTAAGTATCAATAGAAATGATCCATATCACCAACAGCTCTTTGGCCTACATCATAACTGAAGAGTGAAAGGGATCTTGATACTCGAAGACCGTATACGTGGTGTTGACCTGTATGGGGGACTGGGCCTTGCACAGCACTCATGCCAAACACGTCTGTGTAGCTCCTCGACTCTCAGTACTTACTAAAAGCACATTAGCTGGGAACATTAAGGCCCTAAATTGCTTTTTTTTTTTTTTTTTTCAGAGAGGTTTTTGCTATAGGGCATATGTGTTCACCAGAAAGAGACACAGAGAGACAGAAAGTGAGAAATTATTTTTCCCTGCCCCCCGCCGAGGGGATATGGCCACGCCTCAAATCCCTTCTCCATTCTCCTCTCAAGATCTTGGGCACTCATGCCTGGCATGGCTCTAAGCCAGCGGGTCCAGGATTTGAACTGCGGTTGACTACATGGAAGTCCAGCGATGTAGTCATTATGCCATCTGCTGATCCTGAGGCCCTAAATTTTTTTTTTTTTTTGCCTGAGGAAGTAGCCTCTCCACTCCTCCCGAGGCACGTGCCCCCCAACAATGCCAACTCTCCTCAGACCAACCGCTACCACTGCTGTTTGCTTCTAGACCTGCAACTCAACTTTAATCCCTATAGGCCCTTAGAGGGCAATACTAAGTATGACCATGAGGAGGTGCACTACATTCCAGAGAACTGCTTGGGTTTTCTAATTTATACAGGCAGAAGTCGGGAACACGTGTGGGAATGGATATTAAGGGCGTGGGGGAAAGAACATACTGGTGATCAGGCTGAACTTATTGGCATAGGCCTACTAGGGAGAGAGTGTGCATTTACTGTTGTAGCTTGAGGAAATAAAAGTTTGGTTGGTTGGTTGGCTGAAGCATTACTTGAAAAACGGCCAACCATGAGTGATTTGGAAATCACCAAATCTCCCTTGGTTTACTCTAGAGGAAGAGACTCAAAAGCTTAGGGAGATTGGAATGCTAGAGTGGATCTGTCACATAAACATGAGCATCCACACAGACGGAACACGGGTACTCTGAGAAACAGATTTGCGAGGGAGGAGCACCAGCTTCCTTGAAGAGATCAGTGAATGGTCTTCTCTGCATGACA